CCAGTGCAGCTCCAGTAACTTCCATTTAAAGCAGCAATTAACTTGGCCATGGCTGTAGATCCTGTGCCCACCGTTGCACCTTGTGATGGCTGGGCTGTGTCCCACAATGCAGAGCCTTGGGCAGGAAATAGAAACCTGAGTCCTTGTGAAGGCTGTGGGCTTTGCAGGGGGATGGAGCCACCTCAGCTGGCCCCCGGCCATGCTGCGACCTGCAGGAGGGTCTGGGGCTCAGCACCCACAGCCTGGGCGCTCCTGTTGTCCCCAAGATGTGAGGGACCTGCTGGAGCTGTGTGCTGGAGGGCAGTGACAGCCCTGCAGCTGTGTGGGGGTCCTAGCAGCTCCCAGTCCAAACTGGGCTGCTGGGAGGACCAGAGGCAGGGGCTGAGGGCTGCTCCTGACCCCGAAACTGCTCCCAGGGACACCTGAAACACGAGGGTCTGTGGGGCCGTGGGGCAGCGCGCCCTTCATGCCTTTGCAAGTGCGGTGCCAGCAGGGAGGCCTCCCCCACCTTGCCGTGAGTGGTGTGTGGGACCTGGGGGCTTTAGCTTAGGAAAGATGTGTTAGGTTTTTACCATTTTGATTTTTCTGGGAAGTGCTGGTTCCCAGAGCCAGGTGGGTTAGGGCTGACCACAGCGTTTATCTCCAAACAGACACAGGTTCCCAGACCTGACATTCAACAAGGGAGAGAAAGGAGAGCAGGGAGTGAAGAAACCATGTGCACTGCGCTGGTGTGAAATGGCTCCCGGCTTTCCCCTTGGCCGTGTCCTCTCTAGGTTCAGGGTGAGGGCAGGAGCAAGACCTCGGGGAGGTTTGGTTTGTCCCATCTAAAGAACGACCTCAGCACCAAACCAGTGTGGGTGCACCTCACTTTCTCTCCTCCCTGCCGCAGGACACCCCAACGGGGCCGGGCAGGCGATGGGGCTGCGAGGTACCAACAGAGCTGGTCTGTGAAACTTGGCCGAGAGGACAGAGGGAGATTGATGTTTGCTTGGGCGCTCGGCCCTCAGCTGCCGGCTCTGCCTGCCCCTGCGCCAGCTGGGGACAAAAGTGCCGGCCCCGGGTGGCACTGCAGGGCTGGCGTAAGCCCCCCAGGACAGCTGGCAGCTCTATAAGGCTGGCACCCGTCCAGCGAGCTGGTGCGAAGGGGCCGCGCAGGGAGTTTCGTCTGTTAGGATGCTCGCCCGTGTTCGGGTGTCTGAGCTCCACCACAGAGCCAGAGCCCCACCCAGCCCCACATCTGCCCCATCTTGGGTCCTGTCCCCTGGCCGAGCCTGGCTGCGGTGGAAAGGAGCTGGGGTGACCACGGGGAGCACCCTACAGAGCTAGGGGGGTAGGAAAGTGATGGAGTTTGGGGCTGGGAGCTCGCATGGGGCTCCTGCCCAGCCCTGCTGGCATCTCCCACGCAGGAGATAAAACCCGACAGGCACCACTAATTACATCAGAAAAACCACCCATGGAGGTAACAATGTCTGGGTGTAATTGCAGGTCAGGGCTCCTGTCCCAACAGGGCTGTTGTGCCCTTGTCCCCACATCCCTCCCTCACACGGAGGACCCTGCTGGGAGCTGGAGCTGACCGCAGGATCCCTGGCAGAGACAAACCCCCAGCACAGCACTGAAAATCCCAGAAAGGCTTTATTTGCGTAGGAAGATCAATGCTGTTTAAAAACCCACCGCTTGCTAGAGGGTGCTTGGCCACCCAGCGCCTGCGAATGCTATCCAGGCACTGGCACCTCCCCGTTCGGTGCTGCCTTGGGGACCGGGTGCTGGGCGAGCTGAGGAGGTGAGGTGCACCCCTTCCTCCACCTCCAAATGGCACCTCCCCAAAAGCAAGTCTCAAAAGCCTGGCCTGGACACACGATGGGGAAGGCATGCATGGTGGTGGCGGTGGGATGGAGCTGGCTCTGCCCATCCTGGTGGGTCACGGCCATGGCCTGGGGCTGGTTCTCCTCCAACTGCCCTGTCTATGAAATGGATGCATGCAGCTGAGCGCTCTGCGCGGTTTGGGGGGGCTGGGTAGGGGGCAGGGGGCACAGGGCTTTGCTCCTGGCGAGTTGTGTGAGGGAGAGGGTGATGCCTGCCCAAGCAGGGGTGCCAAGGGCTGTGGCAGGGGCTTCTGCCTGGGTCTGGCTTCAACAGGCAGTGCTGGCCTCCTGCCCACATCTCCCTGCCCTGCAGGGTCCCTTCTACCATGATGGGCAGGTCACCAGGGTCCTCGCTGTGCCATCGTGGCACCACAGCCTCCAAGGAAAGGGGCAAATCCTGTTTCCATCCTGCCCTGCCTCAAGACCCTGGGTCCTCTCCTGTGCCCAGGGTCATGGGAGGATGGACCCCGCCAGGCTGTGAGCACCCCCGGGCTGGCTGTGAGCAGGGGGAAAGGAGATCATCAACACATTTCTCTCTGTAGGACCTACATAAACGTCACCTACTGCCTTTATTTCCTGTTAAGCACGGAGGATATCCAGGTCTGGAGGGCTGGAAGCCTTGCTGAGCTTGTCCTGTTGAGGTTTTGAATGCTCTCCTCTCTGGTGGAGGAGCAGCGGGGGGTGAACCTGCTCAGGAGACCCCGTGCCTGGGCACTGACGTGGGGAGAAAGCTGGGGAACTGGGCGGTTTTCACCTCCAGCTCTCTGCTGGCACTGTGGTGCCGTGGGAACGCAGCAGTCTGGGGATGCCACCGCTCATTCTGCTCCTCCAAAAGGATTGGTGAAGCTGCCCCCACTATTTTCATCCTGAAAAATCTCCCTCGGAAAACGGGCTGTGAGCCCTGCCCTGCAAGGAGTGCAGTGCTGGCTCTCTGGTGCAAAGTAGCTCCCATCTGTAGCTCCAATGGTCGTCTGCGCCTTCACCATCAGGAGGACCGGGCTTGCCTGCTGCTTGCCCCAGGGCTGGCGTTTCCTGGGAGGAAACAGAGCGTCCTGCCCAGCGTCCATGTCACAGTCCTGCCTGTGGCCATGGGCACCATGGGCAGCTCTGGGCCCCGCAGGGAGGGGAGCATCCCCAACTCGCTGCTTTGCTGTGCGTTGGAGCTGGCTGGGGTCTGGAGGGGCCCTATCTGTTGCTGGGCTGGGGGTTATGGGGCCATAGCCAGCACCCCGCACAGTCGGGGTGCAGGCAGGAGTGCTGCCGGCTCTTTCCTGCGACTGAGTTCCAGGCCAGGGGAGAAGAGAGGACTGCTGCTTGTGGCCCATGGCTCAGTGATGCAGCCTGGAGAAGCAGCAGCCTGACATGGAAAGTACAGAGAGAGATGGAGGGTGTTTGGCTGGAAGGTGGTGTTCCCTGGCCACCAGCTGTGCAGCATCCTAAAGTACCAGGGGCTTCCCTGTGCCATGGCCGTGCAGCATCCCTGTGTACCCAGGGCTCCCCCCGGCAGCACAGCATCCCTGGGTACCCAGAGGTGACACCATGCAGGAAACTGGAGGGGTTCCTCTCTCCACCTGACTGTGGGGACCTGAGGTTGCTGATCCTCCCCCTTGGGTCCCCAGCATACGAAGGGACATGGTGCCTGCCACAGGTCCAGGCTCCGAGGCCCAGCCCAGATGTGCTGCTGCTCCAGGACAGAGGGAAATGTTCTGGCTGAGCAAGTTGCACCCAGGTGCGCTGGGGGGGTCAGACCGAGAGGCAGTCATGCTTTTCTGGGCCTCAGGGCACCGAGTGGATGTCCTCTGAGCGCAGCACTTTGTAGATGACCCAGTAGAAGATATTGAAGACCAGGAAGGTGAAGGGGAAGACTGCTCGGGAGATGGTGTCGATGCGCTTGGCCCGGTCGATGTAGCACCTGCAGAGCCTCTCCCCTTCCCGCAGCAGGACGCTGGCTGGGGGTGGGTTGTAGATGCCAGGGCCCTCCCCAGCCCTGTCCTTCGGCTGCAGGCAGTGGCCCAGCCCATAGCCTCGCAAGTAGAAACGGCTCTCACGGACAAGCTCTTCCTCCTGGCAAAGGGAAAGGCTGTCAGCCTGGGCACCCTGTGGACACCAATGCTGCAGGGCGAGCAGGCACTTGTGGCTGCATGTCCTCTACACCCCACCATGCCGGGCGATACCGTCATGGAAGTGCCCGGTGCAAGGTTAGGTGCTTTTTCAGAAAGCTCGAAGCGTGCGTGAAAAAGCACAGGGCTGGCAGGCTGCGGGCAGAGGCAGGCAGCAGTGCACACAGGGTGTGGGGGCGAGCACTAACTGACCGCCTTGTCACCTGGCATGTGTTTTAGGGGACATCAAAGGGCAACCCCGACCCTAGCAGCCTGACACTGATTCCCCCGGCCCCCTCTCAGGGGCTTGGGAAGCCCAGCTCTCCAGCAGCCGGGGAGGATGAGGGTGAACTGGGAGGAGGGGAGATGGGCACATGGGGGTGCAGGGTACATTGTGGTGCAGGGAGCTTAGGGGTGCAGGAAGGTTGGGGGTGCAGGCACTGCCGTGGCAGCTGTATTTGCTGTGGGGTGGAAGCCCGTCTGTGCCGGTGAATAGGAGGGGGCAAGCAGCTTGCTGTGGCAAAGCTGGGCAGGGATGCAGGAGCATGGCTACCATCAGGGCTTACAGGGCCTCCCAGTCCCTCCAAGGGCCCAGACCCCCATTTCTCCCCATGGCTGCTTGGCAGAGGCTGCCCGGTGCAGCAGAGGAAGGCGGCTGAGAGCGCTGGACTCCTTGCTGGTCTCTCTGCCCTTGCCCAACCCTGTCTCCCACCATGCTGGTGGGGGGGCTGCAGGGAGGGCAGTGTGCCCGTGGGGCTTCATGCCCATGATCAAGCTTGCAAAAGTGCCGTGAGAGCTGGGTGCCTACCCTCACCCTCGCGTTGCAGCCCACTGCCATCATTCATGGACCACCTTGTGGCCCCCTCGGGTGCCAGGCAGTGGTGCCCACGGTCCTCCCCACCGTTAGCAACTCGCCTCATCCTGCTCTTTTATCCTTAGATGGGGTTGTGTGTGCAAAGATTTGGTGATGGACCAGCACATACAAGCCCAGGCTGCATGTCTGGCTTCTCACTGAGCCCCCAGGCCACTCATTTGGTCTCTGTGGCTCATACCCCTCTGCCCTGCCGGTGCCTTATCTGGGTGCAGTGGGTCTCTTCTCCCAGGGCATGGTGCAGGCCAGCCCCTCGCCTCGCACCATGCCCGCACACAGCCCAGGTGCCGGATCCCAAACGCCATCTCTGACCGGCACTGCCCTCCAAACCGCAGACAGCAGCCTCCTCGCTGAGGTCAGCCTGCACAGGCGCTCAGCCGGCAAGGGGGCTCTCATGTGGAGAGCTTGCACCCTGGCATCTTTATTTAACTCAGCAATCTGCCAGCTAAGCAAGATTTCTTAGTGGGAAGAGCAGCAGTGGCTCAAATTGCTGACAGTAGTTCTCATTTGCAGCAGAGTTTTATTCCCCTGCCCCAAGCTGAGTGCTTGCAGCCGCCCCAGGGGATGTGGTGATGGGGAGCCGGGGTGCCCTGTGTGCCCTGGGCAGCAGCAGTTTTTCCCCCAGTGGGCCCAGCCAGGGCACTGGGGGGAAGAGATGGCAGACTGGGAGTGCTGGTCCCCCCAGCTGGGTCCCTCTGGGCTGGAGCATCCCCAGGGTGCTTACTGGGGGCTGAGGCTGGGGGCAGGGACCTCCCTGGGCTCAGCTGTGCAGGGTCTGCGGGAGGGATTTGCCATCGGGCTGTGACACCTGGGCTGGACTATGTCAGGCAGCACTGGCGTGGGAGCTGTGGGGAGCGAGGCTCTGCTCCAGTTGCTGGGGGGAGCCGGGAAGCCTTTCCCAGCATCCAAGGGCTGATGATGGCAGAAAGGAGGCTTGGGACAGCCCGGCTGGGAGGGGAGGCAAGGATGTACCAGGCCTGAGCTCCTCCCTGGAGCTGCGGTTGTCCTCCAGCATCTCCCCACCAGCCTGGGAACCTGCCCTGCCCCATCATTCCTCCTCATGCCTTGAGCTGATGCCCTGAGCAACTGCCCCTGCTGGAGTTACTGCAGGCAGCCGTGAG